TTCAAAAACAGTTTTTATATGTTTCATACAACGAAAAAATACAATTTTATTCCTCATATCTTCTCATTAATAGTTTCTGGTATTTTAGTCAAAATTCTTTATTTTATTCTGTCGACGTGTAGTAAATAACACGAAAATTAAGTATTTAAGTCGTCCAAGAATCTGTGGTAGTATGAATACAAAATAGTAGGACATATGAGTAGCTGAACACGATGCCATTAGTAAAATTTACCCATAACCTCGATATTTCTCAGAAAATCCACTATTTGGCGAAAGTTAGCCCAAATATGGGTCAAAACAGAGTTTTTCTAAAATTGTGTTCGTAGTAGGTATTTTGAGGCGCTGAACACGATGCCATTAGTAAAATTTACCCATGACCTCCATACTCCTTAGAAAATCCATTTGAGTGAAAACTAGCCCAAATACCTAAGGGTAAAAACTGATTTTTTTCCTAAATTTTGTTCAAATATATCATTTTCCTTGTATTTTGAGGCGCTAAATACGATGTTATTAGTAAAATTTCGATATTTCTCAGAAAATTCAAAATTAGTGCTTTTTTACATACCTGAAAATTAAAAAAGTAATTACTACCAATTCATTAATAACGTCTTTAATGTGTTCGTATAAGTCGTCACCAAAGAAATAGCCCGGGAGGCAGCGACATTATTGATGTAATTATTCCTACAAAGCTGATTTTTTCTCATTTTGTTGTTTTGATATCGTAAGTAAACGGAACGGCAGTCTACCGCGCCAATGTGGGGGCAAACGTTAGTAACAATTTTTTAAACATGTAAATAAATAATACTTAAATGCCTTATACCTACAAGGCTGAAACTTTTTAGAGTGATCAATTATACCTAAAAATACAGTATAGTGATAGTCTACCGCGTCGGAAGGGGGGCCATCAAGGGTCTACCACCCACGCAAGGTGTTGAAAAATTAACTTTTTTGACTTATTTCTACAAGGCTGAATTTTTTTTCTCAAATACTTTAGTTTATAAGAGAACCAAAAAAAANATGCAGAGCTTAAATTGTGTTCATGAAAATTTGTACCAGCTTTTAATTTTTAAAGTTGATCCTAGGGGTACATTCGGACATTCACTTGGGGGTAGGTTCGGACTGTCCGAAAGTGCCCCACATGGTGTTCGAATATGCCCCATTGAGTTATAATTTTATTTTCCAGAATTGTTCGTAATTATAAAAAGAAGACGAACCGTGGGGAAACATCAGAAAAAATCATAGCTTTAGCAGTAAAAGCTGTAATTAAAAAACAGTCATCGATAAGACAAGCTGCACTTGATTTTACCTTGAGAATATCAACTTTATATGATAGAGTGAAGTTATACAAGTTAAAGCATGAAAACTTTGACTTTGATGACTCAGGGCAGGAGAGCTACTCCGATGATCAGAATGAAACTAAGAGTAAATATGCAACAAGACAAATATTTACTACTGCAGAGGGAAATCAATTAGAAAAATATCTGCTGCATTAATCAAAAATAAATTATGGGCTCACTTATAAAAATACTCGAAAATTAGCCTATGAATTTGCCTTACAGCTCGACAAGAAAATACCAAATTCTTGGTCTGAAAATGGATATGCTGAGAGAGACTGGATGTTATCATTTATGAAGAGACACACAAAATTATCCCATAGAAAACCAGAGAACACCAGTCGGGCAAGGGCAAGTGCCTTTAATAAACATAACGTGGCACAGTTTTTTGAGAATTTAAACAGTCTACAGGGCAAATATAGATTTATGCCTGATCGAATCCTAAACACCGATGAGAGTGGTATTAGCACCGTACTACAGGCGCCAAAAGTTATTGCTCCTACTGGTCAGAAGCAAGTTGGCCAGATTGTATCGGGCGAACGGGGAACTTTAGTTACATTTTGCGGAATAGTTTCTGCTACTGAAGCAGCTATTCCTCCTATTTACATTTTTCCAAGGCAAAGGATAAAACAGGAATATTTATATGTGTCCCCTACCGGTGCTATTGCTCTAGGCTCCAAAACAGGATGGATGACCACAGAATTGTTTCCTGCTGTACTCGGGCACATTAAGAAGTATACATACTGCACTGTGGAAAATCCTATTCTATTAATAATTGACAATCATGGTACGCATGTTTCATTGGAGAGTATAAATTATTCTAGGGCGAATGGCATTGTTTTGTTATCGTTGCCGCCACATAGCACGTATAGAATGCAGCCTCTTGATATTTGTATTTACGGGCCGTTTAAATCGAGGTGCAAGGTCGCATTTAACGATTACATGGGTACCAATCCTGGAAAAGCTGTCAGAATTCAAGACATTGCTAGATTAACTGCCGACGCATACCTGCAATCATTTTGTCCCAATAATATAGTCAAAGGATTCAAAAGATCAGGTATTTGGCCCATTAACCATTTGGTTTTCACGGATGAGGACTTCTTGCCAGTAGAATCTACTAACCGTGTAGATTACAGTTTATCCCAACTTCCTGAATATGAGATCTCTCAGAATAACATCAATATGTAAGCAGTCAGGGGAAACACTGCAGGGCAGTTTTAAAGACGTCAATAACTGTAATGCCAGTGGAAGTGGTTCTACTGCAGTTTTCAAATCCAGAGAAGTGTTTAGCTTAGTCAACTCAATAATGGAAGAAATATTGAAGCGGACTTTTACAATAGTTCACAAAGTAAAAAATTTGGAGGAAGTTATACAAAGTATTAGACCATACCCAAAGGCTGGTCCTAGAAAAAAAATATCAAAGCCAAGAAAAGGATCGTCACGCATTTATACAGATTCTGCAGAGAAAAATAGATTAGAGCAAATAGAACTGGACAAAAAGAAAAAAGAAGCAGCAAAGCTGATTAAAAAGCAAGTGTTTAGTAATAAGTCCAAACGAAAAATTTCCAAATGGCAGAAAAAGAATAAAATTTACTCTTCATAGTCCTCTGATTCGGACATAGAGACAAAAAAACTACGACGTTATTCATCAGATTCGGATTTCCTTTCTGATGCGGAGGCCAATGAGAACCTTCAAGTTCTGTTAGATGATGAGAATATAAATACGGATGACTATTTACTCGTGAAGTTTCCCACGAAACGAGATGTAAAATATTATGTTGGATTGGTTGTAGGAATCAATGATCATAATGATGAATACGAAGTAAAGTTTCTTCAAAAGAAAAAAACATGGGTTTTGCTTCCCAGATGTTGAGGATATTGCTACCGTTTTACGAAGTGACGTAGTTTCAAAACTTCCCAAACCAACCCATATTAAAGCTACATCACGCCTTTCATCCTACATTAAATTTGATGTAAACTTTGCAAATTACAATGTGCGGTAACATTTTAATATATTTAATGAGATCAATTAAGAATATAAACGTTTAATGTGTTTAAAGATTATTTTTGTGATAGTTACCCTTGTGTCCGAAACTACCCCTAGGCTCGTCCAAAAGTGCCCCTTCATGGGTACATTCGGACAAAATTCATTTATTCTAAAAAACCAAAAATTTTGAAAACTATTTAAAAACAAATAATTGTTATTATCTCTAGTGAACATTTAGGTCATTAAAAACAAAAGGCACCAAAAAGACAATATGTTTTTATGCATTTTTGAAAAATATAGTCATTTTGACTTAAGTGTTCGAACCTACCCCGCATTCCCCTAAATAAATGATGCGCCACAGAAGCAGTAACCAAGTACCTATTCTTGCTGTTGCAACTAAATGTTGTTCATGATAGAATAAACGAGAATGTGGACTAATTTTTTTATCACTATTTTTTTTTTAATTCTAAAAATCGAAAAATCGCCATCTATGTTCATTTTACTAAAAATATCTGCTACGGGTTCAAGTATTCTATATATTTTGATAATGTATGAAACTGTAACGCCTCTTACACACGGGCGTTGTTTTACCGGTTGGTAGCCGACCGTCAGACTTGCCAGCAACATATTCGATATAAAGATGTATTTAACTATGTATCATTTAAAATTTAGTCGGTTGTTTTGCCGATTGTTTTAAATGCCGATCGGCAAAATACCGTCCGTGTGTAAGAGCGGTAATGGAGACAACCAATAAACTATTACCTAATTTTTAATAAAATTAGTTAAAATAATGCCACCAAAATCTCCAATCAATTAACTAATTTAGGTATATTAAAATTATATTAAAACTGTGAAGACTGAAGAATAGTCCAAATCTACTGTGGTATTAATCGTGTGGGAAATATTATTTTTAATGGGTTCTTATTTCCAAAGTTTCTGAGTTATTTAAAAACATTCCCCTATTATCAGTAATACCTATGTAAAATTTTAAAATCTGTATTTGGAGAAAAATTATTAAATTCAAGCAAATGGTTAGCAAATTGCGAGAAACCGGAAGAATCAGGTCTCAAACACCGCAAATGTTCTTTTAAAAGCTGTTTTACATTGACAATTTATTGATGAATTAATTTATGAAGTCGCTTCATCAAGAAATTGAACAAGTGTAATGCACCAAATTCTTCAATGCATCAAGTTCTTGACGAATTAGAACATGTTCTAATTTTCGTCAATTTCTTCATGAAGTTCAGAAGTACCAATCCAATAAATTTCTAGCCTCAGGTCAGTAATGAGGTTATGTTATTGGAATATGTAAATCATTGTGTGGCGTCATACTAGTTTTGTATTGATTTTACTGATTTGTTACTTACAAAAACTAATATTTATATATGATTCAAAACGGTACCGCTGTTGTATCACTACAATTATGAGTGGAAAGGTGACATTTTTAAAATTTATTTGCTTTGATTTGTTGGTAGAACTGATTCATGTGTCAAAGAAATTCGGAAGTCTGTAGCAATACAAACCAAACCGTTTACAAATAAATTCATGAATTAATTCATGAAAACTTGGTGAATTTATTCATGAATAAATGGTTCATGTAAAACAACTACAACCTAATATTAAAACATCTAAAAGTTCTACCGATATACAGGGTGTTTCTTAATAACGTGCTAATATTTAAGGAGGTTATTCTTGGGTCCATTTTAAGAAAAAAACTTCATATGAACGTATATCCTAAAAGTCTTAACTTTTGAACTATAGGGTGCTAAAGTTTTATGAAAAAACATTTTTTTATGATAGCTTTGATATTACCCTAGATATTTTTTCAAATTTGGTACATGCCTTCTATTCATTGAAATGCATTTTCTGATGTACAAATAATTTTATTATTTTTGCCAGTGGCGTCTGTACATGTTTTGTATTGAATATTTTTGAAGAAAAATATGTTACCCTACTGCTTTTTCTTATAATCCTCATTCCTTTCTTGAATTTTTTTCGTTTGACGTACAGTTTTCGCATAGAAAAATAAAATTCATTCATTTGTACGCTGTTATGAAATTATGTACTAATAAGAATTAAAAACGATCTAGTAGGTAAAAAGCAGATTTTGTTTTGCAAACATAAACAGTTTTGACAGTTGTCTACCCAGTCACGTCACGTATTTAAGTCATTAACATTAACAATATTATTTAAAAAACATTGTCCAATATACGGAATCTGAGTTTGCAGACATGCACTACATGTGTGGGCTTGCTGATGGTATCGCACTGGAAGCCAGGAGGTTGTATGAAGACCGCTTTCCAAATAGAAATATTCCCGATGCGCGAACATTTTCAAACATTCATAGAAGATTATGCGAAAAGGGAAGTTTTAAACCAGGCAATTATCTAAAAGTAGTACACCATATTGTAAGAACTCCTTCTGGAGATCTTCTGGATTGAGATAGCGGTTTTTAATTCAATTGAGGAAGATCCACCATTAAGTACAAAAAAAATTGGGAAAAATTTGAATGTCTCACATATTCTTATTTGGAAAATTCTCCATGACTTTTTATTATATCCCTACCATATCCAACGGGTTCAAGCTCTACTACCTCGCGACTTTCTATTACGGATAAAGTTTTGCCAATGGTTTCTTCATAAAGTGAATCCATACATTATTTGACACTGAAATTTTATTCACCGATGAAGCCAACGCTTCCAGAAACGTCATCCAAAACTTCCACAACAATCACGTTTGGGCTGAAGAAAACCCACATACAATCTTGGAATCCCGTCGCCAGGAACAGTTTTTCGTTAACGTGTGAGTTGGAATATGCGGTGATTTTTTAATTGGACCCTATTTTCTTCATGAGAGGTTAAAGAAGAAATGCCAGGTTTGATGGAGGTAGTTCCCATAGTAAGAAATCGACTATGGAAATGGACTATGATCACAGTCGTAGCCACCTAGGTCCCCGGACATCAATGCGTTAGATTACTTCCTATGGGGTCATCTCAAAATATTGGTTTACAACACACCAATTCATACTGAAGAGCAGTTGAAAAATCGCATCATAGTTTGTTGCGAAACTATTAGAACCACTCCCGGCATTTTCCAAAGAGTACGTGAGTCCATGAGAAGAAGAGCAGAGGCATGCGTATTTGCAAGAGGTGGATATTTGCAACATCTGATAAAATTTATTTCTTTGTGGATCAGGGTAATTTACCATTCCAAAATGTATGTAGATTAATTTCATAATTTCAACGTTTAAAAGTTATTATCTTAAATAAATTATTGTTTCAAAGTATAAATCTTTTTTTTCTCGTAAGTGGTCCAATAAGATGCAAATGAATGAATTTTATTTTTTTATGCGAAAACCGTACGTCAAATAAAAAAATTCAAGACAGCACATTTGCTAAGAAAGCAATGAGGAATTCAAAAATGATTTTTACTTTAAGAAAAAGCAGTGGCGTAACATATTTTTCTTCAAAAATATTCAATACAAAACCTGTACAGACACCACTGGGAAAAATAATAAAATTGTTTCTACGTCAGAAAATGCATATCGATGAATAGAAGGCGTGTACCAAATTTGAAAAAATATCTAGGGTAGTACCAAAGTTATCATAAAAAAAATGTTTTTTCATAAAACTTTAGCACCCTGTGGTTCAAAAGTTAAGACTTTTAGGACATATGTTCATATGAAGTTTTTTTCTTAAAATGGACCCAATAATAACCTCCTTAAATATTAGCACGTTATTAAGAAACATTCTGCATATTTTCATCCAACAACTTTGCCTAAATTTTAAAATTCTATGAATTTTTTCAATTTTTAATTCCAAAGGTGTAGCTTGTTTTAAAGTGGTAAGTCCTTATGTTTCTAATGAAGTTCTTAGTAATTACTTTTTTAATAGTCAGGTTATGTGAAAAAGCACTAATTTTGGATTTTCTGAAAAATATCAAGGTCAGAGATAAATTTCACCAATAGTATCGTATTCAGCGCATCAAAATATACGAGAATGTGGTACGAGGTATTTGGACAACATTTTGGGAAAAAATCAGTTTTGACCCATATTAGGACTAGCCCAAATAGTGGATTTTCTGAGAAATATTGAGGCCATGGGTAAATTTTACCTGTGGCAACTTGATCCGCGCTTCAAAATATTACGAAGATGATACATTTGGACTCAGTTTAGGAAAAAATCAGTTTTGACCCGT